GCTTGTACATACTCCATTCAGTGGGAAGTCAATCTATCTATATATATATATATGTACATACTCCATTCGGTGGGAATCTACACACAAATCAAACATACTCGTCGCAAATTCTGCCCAGTGGCCATCGGATGTGCCATGCCCCCGACTATATTCTATATCTCTGCCAAGTAATTGCTTCAGATATGCTACTGTATCCTGCGGGTGTGTTCGTATATGTAGTGAAGAGCAAGGGTGCATGAATAACATACGTATGAGAAAGTATATAGTGTTGTGTACGAGTATTATGAGTACATACGAGTGTCAACTCTGGGCACAAATGTGGTTTATATAGTCACAGACGTCGCAGAGGACGAACAAAGAGCCGAACTGGTTTGAAACAAACTTTGAAACCGAACTGTTTTGAAACAAACTTTAAAACTGAACTGTTATTGATTCCCAAACCCGAAACCCAACTGTTGTCACTCTTCAAACTCCAAGAGCCAGCTGATATAAAACCTTAAACCGTAAAACCTAACTGTTATAAAACCTCAAGCCCTTAAACCCAACCGTTATCTCACCCTAAACCCTCGAATTTGCCTTGTAGTATCGATTAACCCAAATGTTATAAAAACTTAAACCGTAAAACCCAAATAATATAAAACCATAAACTCTAAAACCCAACTTTTTCAACCTTAACCCTAAAACCTAAGCGCACCGCACCTTACCTTGGAGTATTGATTATTCGCGGGACAAGAGAGCATGCCCTGTTCGAAGAAGTAGTCTACCTGTGCCAATGTGAGTACAAACAATTAATACACGCGTACCTACTCCGATAACAAATATAATTAGAATTTTACGGCGGAAACGTAGCACAACCATTTTTAAACTCAATATGGCATCGTAACACAATCATAAGTTTAATCACTCAATCACAAACCAATATTATTCACTGAATCTCATACCTCGGCTTGTGAACAAACCCATCAACGACAGCCACAGATGACAAGGTTTGTTGCTGCACCTCACTCCCAAGAAAAACTCAGTTTTTTTTGCGCTACGTTGTACTATAAACCAGGTTTAGACAGTCCAGATAAAAGCCCATAGCTTTTTTTTTGCGCTACTATGCATTTTAAACCAAGATTAGACAGTACAGTTGGCACACCTTGGCTGATTTGACTGTGGCATTGATGACAGCCTTGAGTGTGGCAAGAGTCCATTGCTCTGTATATCGAATATCCATTTCCGCTTGTGCTTGACGAGGGACCTGCGCACACAGAAGAACGAATTATTATCAGCAAATAGAATTTGAAATAGCTTCATCTACTAGGAATGAAGGGGGTGCACAGAGAAGGGCTATTGATGCCAACTAATGGGATCTACTCGAATACTTCCTTAGACATCCATAAGCGAGATGTGATGACGTTTGTATGTGGTGGCGGCGTAGTATATCTCTCGTTACTGCGATAATAAATACTATATTTCATATTATATATATTTATATATA